TCTAATCAAGGATTAACTTTCCAGTTCAGAGGTGGAACTTAAAACAGATTTTTCTTCTTTTTAATGAGCAAACTCTTTACCCAGGGCCACAGACTCACAGATAGGAAGAAGCACAAGAAAATGGAGAAGAAAATGGAGAATGTATACTCAAAGAGAAATGTGAAGGGCTTTTCACCATCCAGGCAGGGTATAGTGTATTCCAATGAGTTTCTCCAATGATATGGGTGTCCCCAAGACAACAAGGCCTGTCTTTATAGGTTAGACTGAAAGAACACTGTGGAATCTCAGAAGTGTGGTGGGGCCAGCTGTGCTGTTGCTCCAGTTCTTTTTCTGGGGCCAGCTGACTGCAGCTTTAGCTTAGAGAGAGTGACCAGTATTTCTGGGGCGAGGCCACCTATGTATAAATAGATATCAATCACTTCTAAAACAGAGTTAAAACCTGGCCACTTGTGTACATTTCAAACATAGCATAGTGCATTGCCATATTAAAATTAGATTGTGTCAGCCAGTTTTATATTTAAGGCCCATGGGATTCAACTAATTTAGAATATAATCTTGTAACTAAAGAAAAAGTCTCATTACAAACGGCCTTTGCTTGGCAGCTTCAGGTCTCATAAAAGAGATTGTTCTTACCAAGATAATCTCTTAGACGGAAACGAAGGGATTACTGTTACAAATGTTGGCCTCTGCCCTGATTCTTTGATTCTATTTCCTCAGCTATAGCATCGATATAGCAATATTGTACTTACCACCAAATGTAGCTAACCTCTCGGGAATGCTCTGACAACCTGTGAAATAATTCCTTGAGTCCCCTGAATTCTTTGCTACTTCCCCAAAAGCACCCAGAAAAGAAACACTGTCTGTCCAGATATAAATTTTGCATATCTTCTCTTGGATTAAATGGATAAATGTGAAAGACTCAAAAATTATAGGAGTATGGACAAAAACAGTATCCACTAATCTTCAGGGGATGTTTCTAGGCAACAGCATTGCATGATATAGAGATTGTTAAATCTGTTCCATTGTTATGCCTAGTGGTCCCAAGGGGTTCAGAAATCTCCAAATATTCCAAACATTTTTTTTTTTTTACAAAGAATCTTCCCTTAGCCTTATTAATAGGAACTGAGGACATTTTAGATGCAGGGATATTGCTAGTATAACTTCTCTGAAAATGGAAAGCTTACACATTTTGGGCTCAGTCAGTAAATTGGCATAATAATACAAATGCTATTCTCCTATGTGTATCACATTCCTGGAGTCTCCAAATGTGCATGTATGGGTGTGTGTGTGTGTGTGTGTGTGTGTGTGTGTGTGTATGTTTTAATTTTAGTAGGGCATTAGAATTCTCTGAGTTCATGGCTATAAACCACCATCACTCCTTCCATGTGGATATTATCTCCTGCCAAGTAGCACAGGATGTCGCAACTACCACATTGACCAGGGGATTCCCCAAGTGGCTTCTGGATCCCTTCATTTAAGTGGCTGAAATTTATGAGTTCTGGCTTTAGAATGATAAGCATCTCCATTACAAAGAAAGCCAGACCTTTATTGGCAGAAATTTTGATTTCTCATGATTTCTGTCGAAATGTAGGCATCTGTCAGTCTAGCTCATCACAGCATGTCTGATGACTCCAGAAATTCCTTGGATTTCATTGTTCTGGGCTCTGATCTACTGCTTCCAGTGGGCCAGCAGTCCAGTGCCTGCAATAAGTAAATGCACATTCTCCCGGTTCTCTGGAATACGGTCTCTTATAATTCTCCACATATTAGAAATAAGAGGTTAGCTGTCCACTGCTGAGGGAATGAATGAGAGCTGTGGGGCAGGGTGACCCCTTGAGCTCCTTCCCAGTTTGGTGTCCCCACAATGCTGCTTTCTTTCCTAGAAAGCAGATAGTAATATCTGACGAGATTCTATGCTCCTCGGCTTTCCTCTTTGTATTTCAAGTGTCTATTGATTGTGCAGTAGTTGCACATGATTCCTTTGTTCTTTTCATCTTTATTGATGCAAAGCAGTGCCAGAAACTGCTTCTTAACAGTTATTCAATCCCCAATGCCATCCATGTATCAGATTTGGGATTTCATTTCTTAGAACTCCTGGGCTGGCTACACAATTAATTGCTTCTTATTAATAAGCCATTAGATTCACTTGACCAACCATCAACAGCCAAAGAAAAGCATGCCTCCCTTCTTTTGCCTATATCTCTTTTTCTTTTGATGTTGAAGCTGTTCTCCTGTGTAATGGGAGACTTGCCGGAGTGTCTGGAGGTCTCTGGATCATTTAAAGTGACAGGCAATGTTATCTTCTTATAATAAACAGATTTCTGTGGCTGTCACTATGACCTTTATCCCTTTACCACCAGAGAGATCCCGGAAGGCCACTGACACTTAACTCTAGCTAATCATGTGGCTTTTAAGAAAGTGTGTGTGTGCGTGTGTGCATGTATTTAAATATCTGCCCACAGACATTATTAAACTGTTCAGTGGGGGTATAGCCCATGGGGTAGCAGGGCTAGCATTGGGGACAGACAGATGTGGTTTGAAATCCAGTTCTACCACTTATTAAGTATGTAAGACTTTGAGCCATTTAATTTTCTCTAATCCTCAGTTTCTCCTGAAAAATGGGAATCATAATACACAAAACTTGATTTTTTGAGAATTAAGTGAGGTGCCACATGTCAAATAGATTCTACAAGCATTTTCTAGAATTGCTCTCTCTAGCCCAAAGCCAGCTGACTTATGTTCAACGAATGACCTACATGGTTGAATGGGCAATGAATGAGCTTTGGAGTCAGACAGACCTGGTTTGATCCTAGTTGTTTCATTTACCCTGTGATGTTCCACTCTATCCTTATTCCCCCTTCTCAGAAGGCAGGCATGAGGATAAAATGAGGTAATGACTTGTGTCTGGCATGCAGCAGGCTCTCGAAAACATGGGTTTGCTGACTAGAGATCACCAGATCCTTTAGATTTTCCTCTCTCAAGGACACAAGGCCAGGCTCAGCCTCTGGTTGATTCTTAGAGCCATTCTAGGGCTCCCTGACTGGACCATAGCCCCATATGCAGACTGCTTGCCCAGGCTGTGATCTCTCCATCTGCTCTGTGTTATTGGTCCTGACATTCTCAGGAGCACAGTCCTCGTGGTCCCTCCCACTACAGGTTCGCAATTTTATCCTCATCCTTGGGGCCAGATATGTTTCAGAGTTCAGATTTTTCCATGTTTCAGAAAGACAATTCAGTGCTCTCTGTATGATAGTAACCAACACCCCAGGACGAGCTGGGCAACACTGCAGGATCAAACACATAAATATTTCTTCAGTGAAAGGTATGAATACTAACTCTAAAGTGGAATCATTGTAAATATTTTCATATCCTTTCAGATCAGATTTTGCCACCAAGTGTGTTCAAGTCAAAACAACATGAACTACTATGGGAGCTTGGAGAAAACCCTCAGTTTTCAGAGCTTTTCAGTTTGAGGATTGTAGATTAGGGATTGTGGACTCAGTCAGAGGCCCTGGAACTAGAATTGACTCCCATTTCCAACCATTCCATTCTGCTGGTTATAAGTATCCTTTCTCATCTGTGCCAAACTACAAGATTCCCATTTTAAAACCCTGTCATCAGGACCCTTTCCTTGGTAAATGCAATTTTTCATTCAGTTAGCTCTTCCTTCCTCACTCTTACCCCCAATCCCTTTGCAAATCTGAACTTAAATGCATACTTTGAATTGGTTTGTATTACTGGGCTTGGGTGATAGAATGCTTCCTTGATTTCTCCTAGTTATTCACATTCACTTTTCCCCTCTCCTCTGAGGGTAGGGATCCTATTATTTGATTCCCAATTAAGGGCTTCCCACAGCTGGAGATTCCTGTGGGTTGGATGGATGCTGGTGGGAAAGTGTGACAGTCATCAAACCCCAGCCAAAGCTTCTGTTGCCTCCGTGGCCCAGGGCTGTGCTCTAACCTTGTCCAGCCTTTTGACCAGAGAGATTAGGGGAAAGGGAGTGAGCAAATCAGTATCCATTTCTATCTCTATTGGTGGGAAAACAGCTCAAGCTCTTGTTCCATCAAAGCCAAACATCATCTTACAAACACAAGGAAGAACTGACAATGCTGCATCTGGTAGTGTTACTACCAAGATTGTACCAATCCTTCTCTACTAATGAACAATTGTGACTGGACAAGAGTAGCTAGCAGGAAAAGGAGGCCTTTCTGGTTCTGTCTCTCACATGCTCGTCTCTCACTAAGTTGGTCTAATGTGTCTTCCCTCATCACAATTTTCCCCAGGTCACTTGTGATCTCCAGTGGTTACATTTAAGCCCCACTTTTCAGTCTTCATTTTACTTACACTCAGAAGTATTTTATGCCAATGTCAGCCCCTTCTGCTTGAAATATTTTCTTCCTAAGCTTCCCATGATATATGGAAACCCACTTTTGCCTTCATCTCTTACTGTTTCTATTGTCTCTTTTGGAAAAGTTCGTCCCTCACTGTCCAGTCAGGAAAGGCCAGCCTTTCACCAGGCCCTTGCACCATTTCCCTCGGTAATGCTTCCTCACTGATCCTTCTTTTCTATTATCAGGTGACTGACAAACTAGACTCCTCTTTTTAACTCCAGATTCCTACATCCGGCTGCCTCCTTCAGATATTTTTATCAACATCCAAACTGGAGCTTATGACTTCCTCCCAAACCCAGTGTCTCTCATCATTCTTTTGTGCGTCAGACACCTGAGGGTCATTTTAGATCCCTTTCTTCCCTCATTGCTCATATCCATTGACTGCCAACTCCTGCTGGTTTTATTTTTAGGGAGTTCCCTTGGCCACTACATTTCTTTATTTCTACCACCACAATTCTAGTCCAAGCTTCTATCAACTCTTACTAAAAATTGTGATCCCATTACTATGGAGAGAGGAAAGAATGGAAATTGCAAGGAAGCCAACTGTCTCTTGTAAAAATTGTAGCTCTGTAACTGTTAGTATAAGTAGAATAATCAATAAAACATTACCTTTCTCAAATTGTATCTTACTGTTTAATAGTGGATCATTTAGAAGAAGAGTCTCACTTCTTCAAGGCTTTTATCAAGGGAATTCCTAAGACGTATATCCAACTGATCACTGGTAGTGGTGCCATGTCTGTGAGGGACAGAATAAGTAGAGCTTGAGCCATTCTAGAAGCCCTCGAGCCCAGAGATCCAGGGAAAACTGAGTATACTTGCTACTTCCCCTAGTTTATGAGTCCTATAGTGGCTCTGATTGAGGATTGTTCAGCCTCTCAGTGAAACAAGTCTCCCAGGACCCACCCAGCTCCGGATGCTGCCCCTGGGAGGAGAATTGCAGTAGTCCCAACCCAAGCCCACACTAGCCTGCATCCACAGACTCTAATTGGACCTAAATTGGTCTGGGTGGTTTTGTTATTCATCCTCATCACTGGCTGAATTTGTTACTTATGATACATCCCAAGTCCCATCTTAGAGAGTAACCGCATAGACAGTCTGTGACCAGCCTCTTGGACAGAAACATTTGTAGTAAGTCCAAACAGCGATTCCCACCTCCCAGTTCTGCTCCTTTGCTAGTCTTTTCTATTTCTGCTAATGCCACAGCTGGGCCTCTATAATCACACAAGCCAATTACCACTATCTACATACAGGTGTGTAATTCCATTTGTTCTGTTTCTCTGGAGAACACTAACTAATACACTAGCAGATCACTGGCAGTGAAATAACCCTGACTCATGGGAAGTACAACAAGAATAAGGAAATCTGACAGGGAATCCCATTGTCATGCTTAGTGTCTACCCTGAAAGTAGTATAAAAAGAACTTCCCAAGATTTTTTTGCCGTGCTGTGGCACTCAGTTTTTATTTTCCAGAGTCAACACTTCCTCTGGGTTTATTGGCTGGGACTGCTTTTCTTATTTTTGTTTATCATTTGTTTGTTCTGTTATTTTTTTTAACTATCTACTAATTGTGGCTCTGTTCCAACTAAGGAAACTGGCTTCCTCACCTGTGTTAATGACAAATTGTGGTACTACTGCAGGACTAGAAAATGATCCATTAGAATCAGTAGAGCTACCAGGGTATTAGGGAGTGCATTTGTGTTCTTTTCCTCTGAGTCAGTGCCCAAAAGGCATTTTATGTAGCTTAGCTATTTTGAGCACCATTATACCACTGGTTTGAACTTATTTTGGCAAAATCTTAGTATGTGTTATGGGCAATAAAAACAATCGAAAAATAAGTGTTTTCGTACTAAATACAATTACTTACACTTTCTGGAAGTTAATTTCATGTGCATCAGGATGAGAGTTTGATGTATAGGCTCATATTGCTACTTGATTCTGGTCAGAGATTATGTTTAAATATGAGAAGAAGTTGGCCCAGACAGATGTCTAAAGGGCTTAGCTGAGGTAGTGGTTGGAGATGTCACCCCAAAAAGGACTGAACGTTGAGGCCTGGCACCTCTCACTCTAGTATGCATTCCATCTTTTGATGTAGCTCTTAGCCAGAATGCAGTAGGTAGACAAAATCATTGTGCAAACATTTCCTGGATCTCAGTGGTTAGGATCTGAATTTGGTAGGCGCTTTACAAGACACAAGATGCAAAGAGTCTAACAAGGAGAGCCTGGGTGATCAGTTTCAGAGTTCTGAGTTTTGGTCCTGATTTTGCGGCACAGTGACTGTGCAGGGAGAGAGAGTGCTTCTTACAGGCTCTGTGACGCTGGGCAAGCTACTTGACCTCTGACTCGTTTTCATTATTCATACTGGGAATAATAGTAGTGTCTGCTTCCTACTGTTGTTTGAGAATTAAATGGGTTAATACACAGAAAGCACTGAGAATAATACCTGGTAGGTGGTTAGCACTTGATATTAGTTCCTTACTTCTTTTTTTAATTTAAATTTTAATTTTTATTAGTTCACGTTTGCAATTCGTAATGATCACATTCATCTTGGGGAGCTCGTACACGTATTTCTTAATTCTTTTTACATCCCCTTCCCCTCCCTTCTCTTCCCCCTACCTCTATCCATTTCTCATTTTAATGCCTCTTTTAAACATTTTTAAAAATGATTATCTCACTAACTTGCGTCCCGTGAACACGATTGAGAATGAAACACGAATCTTACCCTGAGAAATGTCTGAAGTATAGGATGGAAATGATGTCTGATACTAGTTTGAACCATAAATGAGCAAGGAACAATTTTCAAATATGAAAGTTTGGGTTGATGCAGTTCAATTCGTCTCCCTTAAAAAATTTCTCCTCCAGGTGCTCCTTGGGGTTTAACCCCTTGTTAGAGCTCTCTTCCCAACCTCCCTCCACTGCAAGGCCTTGGTTTTCAACTCTTTCTCCCTGTTAGGAAGTGAAAGAATAACAGCTCCAGCTAGAGACGTCTGCCTGAAATAGCACTGGCACTCGTGGCTTCCTGTGCAGGGCCCTGCCCAGGAGATCTGGGACCCTGGGTCGCCGGGTACAGGCCCTTGGCCAGAGGCTGGCAACAGGCCCGCTCCTTGCAAGGTGTGCACGACCCAGTCCCGCCCCGCCCGACCACCCTTGAGCCTGGGCCAAGCACGACACCAGGAAAATCTGTTCATTGTCTGAGTGTCCATGGGCTCTGCAAAAGTTCCTATTTCTTACAGCCAAGTCCAGAATTAAATCGGACTCCACTGACAGTTAATGGGCAGAGGAAAAAAAGAAAAAATCCCATTCAACTTCCCAGGACTTTTCCGTTGGATTTGTCTGCAGCCGCCTCTGGGTGAGGCTCGGGACGCGCCCTCACGCATATCCTCTCGCTCCGGTTGTTTATCAATTATTCATCTAATTTCCTCAGCACCAGGTAGAAGTGGCCGAGGGATACTTCCTTCTCTGAACACGAATTGACGTTTGCTGCTTTCCTGCCATGTGGTTTGGGAATTATTAAAATGGAAGTGTCTTTCATTGCCCATTTTTGTTGGCTGTGATAGCTCCAGGCTAAGCCGTTTTTCCCACTTCCTAAGGTGGGCGGATGGTACGCAACCTCCGAAACTATGTCTTCATACTCTGTTTCCTTTCCACGTCATCCCTCTGAGTGCAGAGAAACAGAACGGCAGAAATGTGAGAATTTTATGTTAAAAAAAAAAAACAAAAACAAACCTCAAAACCAAAAAAGATTCCTTGATTCCAATTTCCCCTCCCCCTCCTTATCGGCCACGCCACCACCAACAGTGACACCTAGTGGCCAAGTATAAATTAGTCCCTCCATTCTAAGTTGCCTGGCTTTTTATAGAAAATAGAATTTTCTCTAGGAGCATATAAAAGACTTGAGCTTTACCTTTTCCTTGGAACTCTCAGAAAGATAGATTCTTCACAGTTCATAGATAAAATATATTATTTGGGCAAAGATGTCAGTATGTATATATTTCTTAAGAACATATTGGAGTTTTTAATGTTTCCTTCATAGTTTCTGTAGGAAAAGAGCTTGGTTTTCTTAGGCAATGCCCCTCTGATTTTATTATAATTTTAAAAGTTGGCAGCTGCTGAGAAGTATTTAAAATTTCAGCACCTAAAATGTGCATTTAAAGTGTAATATTTAAAAGTGAGTGATAACTATAAATCAGCCATTTGTATAATCTGTCTCAAACTCTTGGAACACATATACTGGCAAAAATATTTTTCATTTTAATAAAAAATTTAATTTTTATCTCTTTGCAATAACTGAAGAAACATAACATTTTTAATGAAATCTCTTATAGGTTACCAAAAAAAAGATTTTGAATCCTTTTTAAACTTTTATTTTTAAACTTTGATAGATTTACAGGCAGTTGCAAAGCAGTCCAAAGAAATCCTGGTGCCCTTCATCTAGCTCCACCTAATGTTAACATCTTATATAATTATAGTCTACTGTCAAATGAGGAAATTAACATTGGTACAATCTATGGAATTTATTCAGAATTTAAGTTCAGATTTTAAAAATTCAGATTGTTTTTACTTGTGCTCATTTGTGATAATGTACAGAACTTTATGCAACTGTATCCCATATGTAGATGTATGAACCATCCCCACAATCAAGATACAGAATCCTCTCATCACCACAAAGAGACCTTGTGCTATGCCTTTATATTAAACTGTGTGATTGAACCCAGACACCTGTCTATGGTAGGAAGAAGACATGTGAATATCATCATCACACAGTTACTGACCTCTGTGGACTCTGCTGTGGTTTCCCCCCACAATTGTATTCATTCAAAAGGATAGCAAGGGCAGAATTAAACAAAGGAAAATGAGGATTCATCTGATGTCTTTCCTCTAGCACATTGGGTAGAATGTGCTCCACCACTGGTTTTAAATCTGATACAGATTCAGTTGAACAAACACTGGGCCTGAGTTGGGTGATGTAGATTACAGAAGCCCGCTAAGTGCCCTGCCCAGCTCTTGTCCCCTGTTCCCCAGCTTTGGTCTTCTTTGGAGCCCTTTTCATAGTCAAGGGCAGCCTCAGCCCTCTGGAGCCCTGAGAACAAGGTCACCCCTGCTGAACACTTGGCAGTCACTTCTGACAGGGATGGAGAGGAAACTGGCTGTATCCTCCGATTTCTCCGTTCTCATTTTTTCTTGGACATTTTGCATCTTCAATTACTTGATTATCTGTAGAGCCACAACACATTGGGAAAATGACAGAGCATGAAATACCAGGAAGTCATTCTAATGATGGTTGTCATCTGTCCAAGCAAGCCATCTGGCAGAAGAGGGTACCTGGTGGTCAGAGATGCACCCCAATGTTGGCTTTGCCTCTAATTTGCTTGGGCCGTTGCGTGAACTTTCAGTGTCATGGGTTTCTCGTGTAAAGACAAGGTAGTTCAGTGGATGACAGCCGAGATCCTCTTCAGTGCTATCTTTATAAAGTAAATGTTAAAAGGTTTGCTGATGGCATAGGCTTCTAATTATTGAGTAGCTGGTAAAAGTTAATTGGAAATGTTCCATATGTCTTAAAATAGGATTCCATTTCAAAATGGATGCTTTAGGAGCTATGGATTCTTATAAATGTGCCCCATAGTGTCTTTACCCAAGACTTTCCTCTGGAAGTCACTCTCAGTCTTGAAGTATTAATGAAATTCAGTTCTGAGTAAATATTGTCTTAATGTATGGTATCATTCTAATACAACATTTCTGGTTTGAAGAAATCTCACCAGTGAGAAAATTTGTCTTGCTCAGTTTCTGATTTAAATGTGTTTCCTTTCAGCTGTGTGACCTTGGAGAGCCACTGGACCTGAGTCTTGTTTCTTCTGCTCGGTTTGTTAGCTGTTCACTAAAATTTTATTAGACATCTTTCAGGAAACTTACCAGATAAAGTTGAAAGTACAGGAAGATGCTTTGTAGTCAAGAGCAAGTAAGGTTCTACCCCCATCTATATGTGGAAAAACTATCAGATGTGTTACTTATGATAAATGCTAAAGAAAAATAACTTTCAATGACTTTAAGATAATTATTTTTAAAAATCAAAATTTAGCACTGAACTTTAAATGTTAATGTTGACAATGCCTTACTTTTGAGCATAACACATTTCCAAAAACAGGCATAGAATTTAGGTGTGTAAAGGTAGAACAAAAGATTCCATATTTTAAGAGAAGAAAATGTCCCCTTCTGGAGGGCTAACGATTTTAATGGATTGATCCAGTCAGTATATTTTTATTAGTACATGTTTGCAATATACAGTGTTTATTTCCTTGTGTGGAGTTGGGGCATGCACATAACACATCATAATTCCTCTTTTCATCCCCTTTCCCTGCCCTTCCTCCTCTTTCTCCATCTCTTCATCCCATTCCCATTCAAGAAAGATCTGTCTCCCCACTTCCTGTTATCTACCTTTTATTTTGCTCTTTATAATTTAGGTGTCTCATATAAAAGAAACCATGCCACAGTTAAGCTTGTGTATCTGATTTATTTCACTGAACATCATAGTCTCAAGGTGCATCCATTTTCCTACAAATATTTCTTTATGGCACAGTAGTATTCTACTGTGCTCAAATACCTCATTTTCTTTATCCATTCACCTGGTGATGGACATGTTCCAAGGTTTAGCTATTATGAATTGTGCTGCTATGAAAATGGGAATGCAAGTATCACTGTAATATGATGTCTCTTTTGGGAAGATACCTAGGAGGAGGACCAGGTGGGTCAAATGGAATTTCTAGTTTTAGTTTTTTGAGGAAACTCCATACTGACTTCTACAGTGGTTGTAGTAATTTATACTACCATCAATAACGTAGAAGGGTTCCTTTTCCCTAGAACCTCACCAGCATCAGTCATTATATTCTAATGGAGCATATATTATGTGCCAGATACTGTGCTAGGCACTGGGGAAATAGTATGGAGCAAAATAAGTAAAAAACCCCTGGCTTTTTGGCTTTACATTCTGGAGGATGAGTGGAGAAGACAGGACTAGAAAGTAAAAAAGAAATGGGGTGTAGTTAATTTAAAAAGCAATACATGAGAGAAATAAGATGGATGGATGGATGGATGGGAGGGTGGCATATGTGCATACGCAATGTGTGTGTGTGTGTGTGTGTGTGTGTGTGTGTGTGAAGGTGTAATTTTATGTGAAGCAGTCCAGAAGGGTCTCTGTGAAGAAGTGATATGCATGGGAATTTGAAAGGCTAAGATGGCTGATGGATCCTAGGGAGCCCTACTCTGGGGCTTCATTTCTGTACCAAAAGGTTCCATGCAGAGAGCCAAGTGCCTGGAACTGGACTCAGGGAACCGTGCTAAACCTCATCTCAGTCTGGAGCTAAGCTAACACGGTGACTACCCATGAGCATCTTTGTGGACAGCTGTGGTGTATGTTACAGGCCAAGCAGTCAACGAAAGTGTGCTTACAGCTTCTGGGAAGACTGGGCATCCTCTAACTCAGCAGTACCCTTCCTTCTGGCAGCCCACGTGGCTGCTCATTGTCACCAGCCTTGCCAATGGCCCCACACTGTCCTATCAGCCAGAACTTCTGCTCTGCCCTTTGGCCAGCTCTGCCCAGGTGCAGTAGGGGTTGAGTTCCCAGGTCTGAATGGTGACGGACCAACCCTTCAGTGATAAAGTGTATCACCAGGCCTCTGGGTTACTTATTTGTCTTCTTTCCCATACTGCAAAGTCAAATAATAATGCCATTTTGGAGTATAAGAAATAAAAATATAAAATGTGAAATGAAAGTTTGGCTGGGAAGAGCGGTAACTGCAGTACCAAATGGTTAGCTCCAGGTATAGCTGTTTTGAAGTGTGACGTCTGCTTACCCGCCTAGCCAGCGGCACATAGTCATTTGGCATCTCCCTCATTTGCACTCCTACTTAATGCCCTGGGCAGTACCAGCAGCCTGCAAAGGCGATCTTTTGATTTTTAGCA